ATACATATTATTTATGGAAAGAAATAAGAAATATAAATACAAAGGCTAACACATGATTTGCTTAGAAACAATGCAACGTGGCTAGTATTTTACTATTACCTTTGTTCTTATAAACCCTTTTCACATTAAAAATAATAATACTACTAAAAACTTTCAACCTTATTAAGATTAGATACTAAAAAGAATTATCATGTAATAATATATATATATATATATATATTATAATAATATAATATATGTTATTAAAAATTATTTTTATTTATAATATATGATATATTATTGAAAAGTGTAAATATAAGTTATAGTGACATAAAATATATTAAATCTCATTCAAAATTAATATCGAAATTATTGTAATATATGTCAAATATAGTTTAGTGTCATATACATATCTCTATTTTAAATATTAATTAATTAGATGAGAAATGATTAAGTTAAAAAAAAAGATTATTTAATGGTTGTTAAAGATTTTAAAAATAATTTAAATTATTGATAAATTTAATATTTTTAATTAAATTAACTAATTTTTTTAAGGAGTGTAATTTAGTTTTATATGTAAATTCTACATTTAAATCCTTATATGTATAAAAAGTGTTTAGAAATTGATATATGTTATTTGTCAAGTTATAATCGATGATATTGTACTTTGCTTTATAATTGGATGGAGTTTTGTTTTTCATTTTAATATTTACAAAAAAAAAAAGTTGTACATTTTATTTTAGTTCTTTAATTATAATAATAATAATAATAATTCTTCTTCTTATTATTAAATAATATAAATAAATGAATAAAAATCTGCATTTTTTTTATTCATTGTAACATTGTTAGTTTTGTGATGTTTAATTTAATTATGAGTGATTTCATGACTTGTATTGTTTAACTACTAGTTGTGGTATAAGGACTATGTAGTCCAGACACCTTATGAGTTAAGTTGGTCTATAAGGTAGTTAACTCATAGATAAATAGAGTTAGTTTCAAGAATAGTATATAAGGGTTAAAACATGAGTTTCATAAGTTCATATTTAAAAAAAAATCATAAAGAGAAGTTCTCTGGAACTTGAGAAAAACCTTTTCCCTTTCTCACTTCTCTAATTCCTCTTTTACTCTCCCTATAGTTGATTAGGTGGATTGATTGTTGATTCAAGCTTGTGAAGCTACAAATCTCAAGCCTTAGGATGTGCAAAACTTCCCTTTTCTCTCCTTTTCTTGGTTTGGATCAATAAGAGGTAAAAAAAAAAAAACTAGTGATTTGTTGATTTTTGTATTATTTGTTGAATTTCATGTTGATTTTGTTGTTAAAGTTCATATAGTTGTTGAATTTTTGTGTTAGATGGAATGCTTACCATTAGACTAAAAGTTATAGTTATTAGTCAAGACATAACTCTTTTTACTTAAATGTAATAGTCTAAGCCCCATGTGTTGACTATGACTTGACCCACTTGGGTCTCTATTATAGGATAATTGATGCCACTCAACAAACAATCTTCCCCTCATCCATTACTCCCGCTAGGAATTAAGCATGGGACCTTGGCTCTGATATTGATTGTTGGATCAAACACTTACCACTAGGACAAAAACTATAGTTATTAGTCAGAGCGTAACTCTTTCTACTTTACCGTAGTAGTCCAAGCGCTATGTGCCAACTGTGACTTGATCCACCTAGGTCTTTGTCACATGACAATTGGTGTCACCCGACAAACACTTTAATTTGATGAAGATGGGATGGTACTTGGGTTCTTGGTGGTTTGAAGTTGCTCATGAGTTGATGATGATGATTGTTGAAATGTAGTGGTTGCATGTTATTGTTTTGGTAGTTACAAATGAGTTTTACATGTTTTATATTAGTGATTTTCCTAGTAGCATGTTGATTGATTGTTGCTTTTTAGGTGGATTGGACAAAATCAATTTCTACATAAGTACAAAAATTGATATTATGTTGGGTGCACCTTCAAGGCGTCGAGTGTGACTTCAACAAGGGGTATCTGTCTTGCTTATGTTGGGTGCATGATTAGTGACTCTGAACGTGAGGAGAGAATCATCTCAAGTTGAAATCACATTGAGCGTGGTTTGAATAACGCTAAACATGAGGAGAGAGAATCATCTATACTTAGATTCACGTTGGATGCTAGTGGAGTGATATCAAACATGAGTTAGGTAGAGGCTTTTTTCCTGATTGGGTCAGTGTAGGTTATTGCCATGCAAAACACGAGAGGGTGAGAGATTTTTTACCTCAACCATGTTAGGCATGAGTAGTTTAAAATCAAGTGTGGGTGAGACAAGCAGCCTCTTGTCTTAATGGTGTCAGGTGTCTTGTGAATGGTGTCGGGTGTGAGTTGCATGACAAAAAAATTATCGTTATAAGTTGTTTTATAGTTGAATGGTGATGAATAATTTGTGTGGGTGATGATGTACGGTGATGAATCTATATGTTTTAAGTTGATACAATGATGTTTATACTATTAAGTTGTGAGATGCTAGATGACTGAGTTGTAAAGTTGTGTGCTATTTTAAGTTGCTTAAGTTGTTAAGATGTTAGACATATGGTGAAGATACATGTCTTTATTGAGATACATAAAAGTTAGAGGAGCATAAGAGTTGTTTTAGAAAACTAAATATCCCATTGTATGGATATATGCAATGGTGCTCTAATAACTCAAGTTGAAACCCTTTAGTAAGTAAGTTGACTTTTAAATAGGTAATTGTTCTAAGTTGTCTCATCTAGGTTTTATGTGGTATCTGTATCTGGGTAAAGTTGATGCATACGTGTATAAAGCGATCAACCGAGTAAAATACAAAGTTGGAGACTTAGTCCTTAACTGAGTATTGAAATGACACAGTATTTGGAGGGTAGTTGGTGGGTTAATCACATAGGTGACTTAGTGTTTCAAGCTAGTGTCGTGGTAGACTTATATTTAAGTTGTTCTACCTTGTCAGTAGTACTAAACTTTTTTAGTTTAAGTGACGAGACATGAGAAATCAAATTAAGTTGTTAAATAGGCTCTTTGAGAAACCTAACATCTAATGTGGTTGAGATAGGTCACACATTGTAATTTAGTAAGGTCTAGTCACTTAAATTATTAAACCCTAAACCCCAACAATATTAAGTTAATGATGTGATAGACTCATACCCAAACTGTTATATCTTAACATTAGTACTAAGTTGTTACTCGGTGTTGTTATTACATGTTGATTATGTTCAAAAGCTTATCCTATATTTTCCTTATGGTGGGGCTGCTATGATCATACATTGGTTTGAGAGCAAACTAGGATTAACAGGATTTGTTGGATGCTTTGGTGGTGACTAATACTAGTGGTGACTTATTTAGTTGAGGTTACTCAATTGTAGCCAAGTCTTATATAGTCGCTTGACCGATGAGTAAGGTTTATTTTGCATACTGTTATGTAGTGATGTAGATTGTATATGTATACAAGGCATGCATATAATTATAAATGGTTTTTATTTTTAACGGATTAATTTCTACCCTATACATGTATGATTTATATGATTGCCTATATAATTAGTGTATGATAATCTTAAACAAATTGTCTATTCTATTGCATAATGACTAAATTATAAGTAGTATAGTAACTAGTAAAATTGTTACATCCATACTTAACATATCATTTTTCGTTTGAATTTCCATATTAAAAAAATTATGGAACCATTATAATTTTAATTTATAAATGATAGACAATAATTTACATACTTTTTCATGTACATATTAAACTATAAAATCTTTTGATGTAGGAACTATGAATAAAGTTTTGGATACACGTATCCAACAAAAAATATGGAAGAATAAAAAACTAAAATAATTTTTTTCATAAGATTCTCCGAAATAAAAAATTAACTTCTCAATAAATTAATATGAAAAAATATCCAAATAGGTTATACAAAAATTAATTTAATTTTTAGAGAATTTTTTTTCCTCTTATAAATGTTTATACAATTTATCTAAACAAATTTGAGCAAAAATACAATGTCATACGTGATGAATTAATTTACAATTTAACCTATATTTAAGTTTTAACAACCGCAATTTTTTGTAGGTAATTATAACCGGAAATTAGCAATAAATTGTGTAGGGTACAAAAACTAGTGAATGTATATACAGAAAGAAATTATATATATATATATATATATATATATATATATATAATATTGATTTGCATAAAAAAAAACAGTGATTTATATCTCTTAATTAAATAATAAAAAATAAAAAATTTCGTTGTATTTATGCTTTGGGTGTTTAGAATATTTTTATACTTTTATCATGAAATTTACTAAAGTAATTTTTTTAATTCACTTTAATTAACTTCACTACTAAACTTATATGTAATTTTTATTTAACAATTAAACATTTAACGAGACCATTTTACTATTTATTATAAGATTTAATTACCTTTTATCCTATAATATTATAAACTTTATCTTTCTGTAATTTAAAATATTTTAATTTAATTTTAATACATGCTATTTTTAATTTTAATTTTTTTAATCTTTACAATTTCATAAATTTCACTCAGTCTCACACTTATGGGCGATAAATATTAAAAAGAAACAATAGTATATATATAAACTAAAATAAATTGTTTTTAATTATAAATATTAAAAATAAAGTTTATGAAATTATAAAAATAAAAAAATACTAAATCTCACTTTAATCTTTGAAGGAAAATTACATCAACATGCTTGGTACTTGGTAGTATAGTGGATGAACTAATGGACAATTATTTTGGGCCATTGTTCAGAAATCAGAATGGGATAGACACGACACCTAGTTAGTGAGTTGAGCTTTACCTCATCAGTCATGTCCAAGTATGTAAGTTATCTGTCCTGTGTTTCTCTTATTCAGATAAAAAAAAAATCATCTTCTTTAATTCTGTAGTATAATTTTGAGATATACAAAAAAAAAAAAAAATTACTTGGGAAGCAAAAGTAATTATATTATATATGATATAAATTTTTTAATGTTCAAAATAATTACTTGGTAAATTTCTTGATAAAAAAAAATGATGAGGATTAAAAGGTGTGGGAGAAGAGTTGTGGAATAGTTGCAATTAATGATGGAAGCGAAAGTGATGATCTGTAACCATTTCCGGCATTCAGCGCTCTCTGTCTTATCTTCTTCTTTCAGAATTAAACCTTCTTCTTCTGTGTCTTGCTCTCTCATGGAGGACCAGGAGACCCACAACCATGGCCGCACCAAATTCTTGGACTTTCCCTTCGTTTCATCTTCCCACAAGAGCCTCATGCTTGATCTCGTTTCAACGCTTGAGAATCGCTTCCACTCTCAGCTTCTTCCATGCTCGCTCCCCTCTGATGTTCAGTATTATCAAAGCCACAATGGCACTGCCCAAGCTTCCCTGCATATCAGACCTGCCCATCATAACTCCCCTGTAATTCTCTCAATCCTTCATTAAATATTTTCCCTTTTTTTAATCTTACTCATGAAATTCGTTTTAGTAGCTCATGGGTTACTTAATCTTACTGTTCAGAGCATACTATGGTTGCAGATTAGCATGCTTCATGTGCTCATGGCTTCGATTCTTAGGTTTGTGTGAATGGAAATACCCTAGGCTACAAAAAACATAAAATAGATTACATAATTGGGCTGAGAATTAGGTACTCAATCTAAAGTGAGTCTCTTTAGATACAAGATTGATGTTATTTTACCGAAAATAGACAAACTCTCTTAAACACTTCTAAACTTGAATCCAAACATATTGTATGTCTCGATTAAACGATTAAATGCTAAAGCAAGCAAATGAACAATGTAGATTTCTTGTCCTTTTCTGTGTTTCAGCTTAGTCAATGGTGCTAACTTTTAGGCTATCAAAGTGTTGGCAAACTGTCTCTTTAAAATTGCAGCCTTAAGCCTTGATGGAAATGAGATCAATGATGTTTATATTTGCAATTCTTGTATATAGAAGATCAGTATTTTGGGAGCATCTTCAACTTCAAGTATTGCACGGATGGAAATAACGAGTTCCCTCTTTGTGAATGCTTGGTTTTGTTTCTCTTTGTTGTTAACCTTGTGTTATCACTGAATTTATTAACTTGTATCTGCAAATAGCTAGTTAGCTACTGCTGAAGTGCTGCCATCTAATTTTCTCCATCCTTGCAATGGATTTATTGGTGTGGAAGAAAATGGATGACAATTGTTTTGTTCTGAATTGGGTCATTTCTTTTGTCTCTGTCTCAGGTAGATTTTGTATTAGGAAGCTGGGTGCATTCTGAGCTACCAACAGGAGGGTCCTTAGATATAACAAGTCTTTCAGCCTATCTTAACAGCTCGACCGATGCACCAAATTTCGTGTTTGAAATGATCCGAAGTAGTCCAACCATGCTAGTTCTCATTCTTGATTTGCCTCCCCGGAAAGACCTTGTGCTTTGGTCAGATGATCTCAAAACTTTTTATGAGGACACTCAGCTGGACACACACAGGCAGGCCCTGGAGAGAGTCCCGGAGGTTCAACCGTACTTCTCTTCTTCCCTTTACATACGCACTGTTGCCTCTCCTACAGCCATAATGGTTCGCATTGGGACCGAAAATGGCGGAGTAGAACGCATGGAGGAGATCATCAAGGACCATTTGGACCCCATTTCAAAGCAAGTGTTGGGGATATGGTTGGATCATTGTGCTTGTGCCAAGAGAGAAGTGGGAGAGGCAGAAAGAGCTTATCTGAGAAAAAGGGATGGTCTCATTAGAAACAAGACAATCGAGATTGATCTTGGTTCAAGCTTTCCCAGGTTGTTTGGTCCAGAAGTAGCAAATCGGGTACTGGAAGCTATCAAGGAGTATTTTACTGTCTGAGATGCAAATTTATTTGGAATAGCTGGATCTACTATGTGTGTTGCATACATGTACCTAATTTGCTGTGTAGTCTATGTAAACGATTATGATTAATGATAGTTTCTCCCCCGTTATTGTCTGTGCATCAGTTTTCAGTACTCTGCTTATATATATTTTAGGGAATATGGATGATTCATATGGCAATAACACTTACCTAGTCCTTTATAGGACTTCCCTAACTCTGTAGGACTAGATTTGCGAAACGCCCCAATTAGCTTCCCTAACTAGTAACTAGTAGGAAAATTCTTGACACCTCGACTCTATTAGCATGCTTGAAAGAAACTAGTGACTCGAAGTGTGGAAATAAAATAAATCTAGTGCATGTTGTGGACTTGTGTGGTCTACCTTATATATGCAAACATCTTCCCGTAGATGCATAATTGACATAATTTCTGTAAAACAACTGTTGTATGCTTGCTTATTTATGATATAGTCTTTGAGAAGCTAGTGTTTTAACATTGCTTTCACGAGTTCGCATTCTGTGAAGCACATAGTGGCGAATATCATAAAATCCTTCACGCACTCACCAAATATATATAAAATATTATTTCCATGTATGTACGACATATAATTTTATCGTATAACTCGATTCCTCGCATGTTAATTAGCTATAAGCTAATCATCATACCTACCACTCCACAAATTTTTTTACCATATGTAAATATTAAAATCCTTAATGATATTCGCTGATGTGGTGTGTTGTGTGACGTGTCTTAGTGACACATAAACAGACACATTATCAATACAAGGAAATGATGTCATGGGCAACCTTAAACAATACAAACTTGAAAAAGCAGCACGAGCAACACGATGGGAGTAGAAGTTCACACGTGTCAATTGCTGGGATGAGTATTCAGGAGAGGAAATTCGAATATCCGGTTACAAACCTTCAAATCAAGGTCATGGCAGCAATTTGTTTTAATGAAAGAATAATAATTTTTGCTGAATTAAATACAAATACATGCATCTATTCACATATGGTTGTCCCTTATGTCTTCCCTAAAACACCCAAGGACTTGGGTTCAATTTGATTGTTGATTTGATTTTTGCGGAGAGTGAGATATCGCTTGCAACAAGCAAATTTTTGTAACTCACACGAACCTTTTATTTATAATATTTTAAGTTATTTTTTTGGATTATTATGTTATAAGTTATTATTTTATTATTTGTTCCTTTGGTATGTATCATGTGCATCTATTGATGCTTTTTCCGTTTTAATATGGGTAAACATAGCCAATGGACCTTTTTTTTTATTAGGCAAAACCTATTTGAGAACAGTAAGGTTGCAATAAAACTTTTTTTTAATATTTAAAAGAGTGTATATTTAAAATTCGAACTTATGAGATTAAACTATAACAACTTCACATCAATTATTCTAAGCACACGGTGATAAATCCAATAAACCTTGATAGTGTAGCGAACATACATAACTCTATATGGCCATTGGAGTGTCAAATGAATATTTCACTAAAATTGAACAAATAAAAAAATAGTTAATTTTTTTATTTATTTATAAATTCTTAAATTTAAATGTCATTGTTATAATGATTGTATACTTAAACGTAGTGAGAAACGTAAATATTCTGATTCTGATATAAAAGTGAGGTGAATCTCCCTTTTTAAACAAGTGAACTACATAATTCTGAATTATGAAGGTATCGATCCTTAACATGGAAAAACTTGTCATTTTGGCATCATCTATCACTATCTTACTTCTGCCCAGTTTTTCTTTTCTCTCCTCTTTCATTAGTTAGCATCTCTATTCTTAGCCATCCAAAACTTCAACCAAAAGGAAAAAGGTTATCGTATATATTTAATGTAAGCACTACATATAATGCGTTTTCATTAAATTTTCCATCTTTTCAAGATTCGGAAAACAACTGCCAAACTTATAATTTTTAAGATCAACTTTCAAATTTTAAATGAAACTTCCTAATCTCCGTATATGTACAATAAAAGCATCGGAATTTTTTATATTATTCCGTTGCACATATATTAATATTAAACTATTAATTAGGTTAATATTAATCCACGTTTAAACAAGGTCAGTGATTCGAATCATGTCTTGTGTATGCAACCGCGTTAAATCTTGGAACTAGCTATCCCACCCTTTGAAGTGCCTCCAACGTAAAAAGGAGATTAGTCACTGCTTTCAGCGGTGGATATTCCAAGGACAAACCAAAAAACTGTTAATTAGTTACCTATACAAATCAACGTCCACAAAATCCAAGCAATACTTGAATTATTTTCATTTCCTTTCCGTGTATGTTATTTTTTTCTAACAGATTCTTTGTTTTTCTTTCTAATGACAATCACTCAGTTCAGTTCAGAATTCATAGGGAAGTTGCAACGAAGTCCAAAAAACTTGCATGCTTTGTGAAGTGGACAAAACAAAGCCAGATTCTGTATGAGGGGTACCCCCTAGCCCTACCTTTTTGTGTCCCACCATCTATTGTTGAGTTAGTTTAATTTTTTGTGGACGGTACGTAGCTTCTTAAAGGACTTTAAATTTCAAAACCCAGTCACATGTTTTCCTCAAAACTTCTCAGCCAGTTAGTTTCATTCTAGTGTTATCACAGATATAAACAGCAACAACATGGGGATTAATAATCTAGAAGCTATCAAGCAGTTACAGTCCCTTATGGAAAACTGTATGCATTTAAGTAGCATTTTTATGTTCTTCTGCTGATTTCTTACTGATAAATCTCTTATATTGTTTCTTTGTTTTTGTTTTTTTTTTAATATATTTTTCTCTCTTGATGTAGTGGATGAGCAACAGAAGAAAACATTCCAGGTTTGCCTCTTCAGTCTCTTAGTTTTACTTGATCTCAGTAGAAGTAACTTGATGAATGCATCTGATCATCTTGGATAAAATAAGTCACCATAATTTCTATATTAAAAATTTCAGTTGGTGTGGGAGTTTTGAACTAAAAAATTAAAAATTTTGCTGCTAAATTGATCTTAATCATCAGTACCTCGCTGGTGCCAAGCTGTGAACATTATGATAATAGATGGTGTCTTCCACCTTGTCATATATTTGTCTGGCTTCGGGTTCTGCCTAAAGTCTTCAAGAAAATCATTCTGAATTTTAGTGATCATGTATTAATATGGGTGAAAGCGGAGGAAATGGATGCATAGGGTGAAAACTTTGCAATGCAAATAACTTATGTATCCAATATATATGGATAGAGTTTTGTCCCCATACTTTTAGTCCTAATAAAAATGATAACTCTATGTATAACACGGAAAAGAAACTTTGATCCTTGATTAAGTAACATAATGCCTACGACTTTTAGTTAAATGATCCATTTTAACATAATAGAATACTATGAATTAGTAAATTTTCCTTTTATTTCTTTTTATGTATTATTTGACTTTTGACTAGTTATCAGGAAGAGAAAATTGGCCCCCTTTAAAACAAGAGTTTAGTTTTGGGGTTGGTCAACAGCTCTGGTTCACCGTGTTTCATTGGATAAGTCAGTATTATAGTGTGGACTGTTTGGTTCATAATATAATTTATTTCTATTTAATTTATGTTTACTAATGAGAGTAAATTATTACAATTCTTTTGGTCCTTTTAGCTTTGATCACGTGTGTTTTCTTTGTTCTGACCTGAAAGCTTGTTCTTTATATTTCAGAATATGCACCAGGGCTATCCAACAGAAACATTAGAACGATTTCTCAAAGCAAGGGACGGGATTGTTGTCAAGGCACATAAAATGGTTAGATTGTGTGAGCTTTTTGTTGGATTTTTTCCCAAGTTGATTGCTTAATAGAGTCATGCTTGACTCTTGAATATAAACACTTTGCTCATTGTTTTAACTATTACAGTTAGTTGATTGTTTACGATGGAGAGTGGAAAATGAGATTGACAATGTTTTAGCGGTGAGTTCCTTTACTGCACATATTAGCATTGTAATAATATTTATGATATTTGAACAATATATCTTAAATGTTAATTAAAGCAGTTAAGCAATCAAAAGTTACACGGGTGGAGATAAGGATGCACATGCATGTTATTGCCAGAAATATAAATGCTTTGTTATTTGACATAGTCGCTGGAGTTATTTGACATACTTTCTTATTCTTATTCAAATCTATACATCATAATTTTTGCATAAAATTGATGTCTACCATATTATTTTTCGATCATTGTGAATTTATGAACATAAATGTGTTATTGTGCTTCGTTGTTGAATTTTACCTTCTTTTTTTTATAACAGAAACCTATACACCCTGATTTGTACAGACGTTTGCGAGATTCTCAACTTATAGGAATGTCTGGTTTCTCAAAGGAGGTATTTTGTGCTTTAGATAGATCTCGTATAAGTTTTGATCTCAGCCATAACTTTTTTTTGTTTTCCCTCCTACTCTCATGTTGCATTGTTGCTATGTGTAAGAGATGACATCTTTGTGTAGGATTTGTATAAGCATGGTAGATGATGATCAATAAGATGCCATCTCTTATATACAGTTACATACATGGTTGCTAATTTATTTTATTTTTGGCTGAATTATGCCAGGGCCTACCTGTCATTGCTGTTGGTGTTGGGCTCAGCACATTTGATGAAGTTTTTGTAAGGACCTCATACCTTTACAATTCATATGATACATAAGTGCTGCTGGTCTAGCCATGTCTCTTAATTTGGCATTTGAACTAATTTTATATTTTCTATGATGTTAACTTGCTAGTTGTGTTTGTTCAGGACAAATACTATATACAGTCGCACATCCAAATGAATGAATACAGGGATCGAGTGATCTTGGTGAGTTTTTAGAGTTTTTCTTTTTTTTGTTGACCCTCAAATTCTCTGCCACCCTGATTGTTAATTTGGAGTTCCTGCTGTAGCCAACAACCACAAAGGATCATGGGCGACACATTGATACATGTGTGAAAGTGTTGGATATGACTGGTTTAAAATTCTCTGCACTGAACCAATTGAAAGTATGCCAGTAATTCAGAAACTTCTTGTTTTCTTTCTTTCTCTTCATATTTTTTCATGATAGTTCCTTGTTTGGGTATTACCGTGGTTTCTTTTCTCAATCTCTCAATCCACTAGATGCTTTCCTAGTTTACACTTTCTGTTTGACTACCTCCAGCTTTTGACTGCTATATCAACAGTAGATGACTTGAACTACCCAGAAAAGACAGACGCATATTATATTGTTAATGTTCCATATGTATTCTCAGCATGTTGGAAGGTTTGTGGCAGTGTTTATGTTTGAGGAGTTTGGACTTTTCAGTTATCGTTCAAAATCTAAGCTCTTCTCACTTCAATGACAATTGGCAGGTTGTAAAGCCTCTTTTGCAAGAAAGAACAAGGAGGAAAGTCCACGTGCTGAAAGGTTGTGGCATGGAGGAATTGCTGAAGGTAAACATTAGCATAACCTTGGCTTTAACTATTTGCTTCACACCTCATTTGGTAAAGTCATTAAATAAAGTTAAGTGCAGCTCTTGAATTGTGCTTCACACCTAAACTAAGTCCATCTTAATTATTCTTGTTAATAATTAATCTGTTATGGAAACTGGAAAAACAGCACTACCAAATTGAATTTTTTCATTCTTACTAGATATGTTGCAACTGCTAGGGGCTTGACATACTCAACAATGTTTTTAAAACTTGTGAACAGGTAATGGACTATGCATCCCTCCCACATTTTTGCAGAAAGGAGGATTCCAGGGTACCCCGACATCTTGTAGCTGAAAAAACCGAAAATTGTTTCTCAGTTAATCATGTCTTCCATAGACAACTCTACAATTACATCAACCAGCAAGCTATATTAATGGAGTCCACATCACCAATCAGACAGGATTCTTTCCATGTAGACTTACCAGAGCCAGACCCAGATGATGCCAAAATCGCCAAGACTATAGAAAATGAGTTCCACAAACTGGAAATTCAGAGTGGCCTTACCAACTAACAAAATAGTGCTGCAGTTCATGCTGCATCATGATCAGTACAACCTGGAGAATCCTGATTATACTTTTTTGGTGGAGCCAAGCTTAATTGTTGAGTACATCAAGTTCTTTATAAACCACCTGGAATGATGGTCATGTAACATTGGTTTACTGTCGGAACATAAAAGTTACACTTCTTCCGTTAATTAACACTATTTATACAAAATGTACATCTGTGTTCAGAACCGTGTCTGAGACATTGTTACACAATATACCATTCATCAGGGTTACCATAATAAAAGTTGAAGAAAGTATTTTTCCTCAAGTGTCATTTGTCCTGCAACATTTTTTTTATTATCCTCTTGCAAACTACAACTTATTTTCTCAATAAAACTCACGATCCCCATCTATTCTTGACACAACATTTGAGAAATTTCTTTATCAATAATCATGTTCTATATGGTTTAATTTTCTGTTCCCAACAAGGGTAAAAGACTCTGGACATGCTGCATTCTTTTATATCAAGTGTTTCATCTTCATAAGTCCCATCCATGACTGTTGTCACCTGTACCACACAAATCTACGATTAACTAGCAAGTTCGAGGAAAACCAAATCTTTACATTTAATTGAGAAAAGGTTATAAATCAAATTCTGCCTAAACAAACTGTTAAAATATTTAATTTGAATATTCTGAGGCTAAGGTTTCATATATGTACAGAATAAGCTAAGTGGAAAATTATAAGTGCCTCAACCATTAAATAATAATACTCTGCAAGCACATGCAATAAAGCGCACACATCCAGATTAAAGATTGAGCTCCACTGGTTTCCCTGTATGTTCAGTAAGGACTGATCTAAAGAAGAACCGCACTAGTATCAGACATGAAGCTAATATCCAGATATAGTAAAGCTTAAGTATCTGAACCACTTAATAACGCTGCCAAAGTCGATTCCTCTTATCTCAATTGTTTGTAGCAGTTATAGGCAATCGCAACAGACACAGCAGCACAGACAACAGCAAGGGCTGCATAAGTATCTTCCTGCTCCCAATCAAGCCAAGTAGTCATGGATGGAAACTTGCGCGAAGCTCCTTTGCCACTACTGATCCGAGAAATCACAGTTTCACTGCTCTTATTATCAGCTGAGAGTTTTGCCTGTGTCTCAATGACATCAGGGTCCTTTCTCTTTTCCACTAACACATGATTCTGACGGAAAGAAGGGTCTCCATTTGATTGGCAACAGACAACTTCATTTGATTGGCAGCAGTTCACTCCAATTGATTGGCAGCTCACAAAATTGTCTTGAGGCCTACACACTTGAGTGCTTTCTTCTAAATCTCTTAAGCCATTCAGCAGAAGCCTCTGTTCATGCTTTTTCTGCTGTTCGTCCACTGATAAACCCATCTGACCCCTGATGTATGAAAAAAGTATCAACAAACAGTTAGTAGAGTAAGAGTCCCATTAATGTTAGTGTTGTGATCTTGGAAAAGGAAAAAAAAAAATTAGAGCAAATTTAGTGTTATCAATTATATTAACCAACTTCCTTAATCCTAGTGAATTAGGTAATTGGGTCTTGCAAAAGGATATTATCTTTTGACCATGTAAAGAATTTTAGCATGCCAATTTCAGAAGAGGAAATCTGTAACCTGACACATCAATTTTTTTCCATCACAGAAGGTGGTGACAGAAAGAGAGGCCACTGAAAAGTTAAGGGTGAAGCTAGGGTTTCTGAAAATTCTGAGATGGAGAGAGGAATAACAATAGTATAGAAGTTATCCATCATACATATACTTCATTTTGTAATGGCTTAAATTTGAAGACCAAGTCCTCGGTGAGGAAAACATGCTTTATGATGTCAATTAATTTGTAAAAAGAAAGTTTAAACAGTCAACACAGAACTGGAAGGTCACGGATTCTATTTAGAGGCATGAGGAGCAAAACTATCATACCATCGGTTAGAGGGTATGAAGTTGGCACTTGTTGCCTGACCACAATTTCAATTTGAAAATTCATAAAACAAAATGGTAATACTCCAAGATTCAGGATAACAGATACAAAAGGCACAATTAAACCATTGATTTGTCTATTATAGTAAGGAACTTAAGGACACAACCCATTGGTCAAAACAGTATAGAAAATAAAGCATTACAGGAAATAATTACCTCCATAGTGAATCTAAGATCTCCCCTTTTACGATATGATGTTGAAGCAATAAAGGTACATCATCCGGGGTAACATAACCATACCTGCATAACATTGTTATTGAGGAGAAAATTAACCAGTTAAATAACCAATGGTACAATGGTATGACAAAGACTTAAAACAATAAATAGAAATTGTCACAAAAAGCACTCCCATTCCTTACCAGTGCCCAGTGACTTCTCCATTCATGCTAGGTCCAAACACAATGACGTTTCCTGCATACTGACTTCCCCCAATGTGTGAACACGGGCTTACAAACACTTTACCTTGAAGACCATGCAACTCTATTTCCTCCCTGAATCTACTGACCAAGACAGGTCCACAAACCCCGCATCTGCGATCACGGGATCCATGTGAACACACAAAAATATAAGAACCTCTCAAAGCCTCAGGGGTTCCGGGAAGCCACTCCCCATCCTTCACAAGAACCTCTTCCACAAACGTCTCAACATCAAAATGCGTTAACCTCCTGCAATTCCACTAAAACCTGTTGAACAAACGATCTAAGAAGAGGAAAAGAAAAACCAACGACAAAACAGAGCCTCTAAGATCAGCAGCACTAACCTGTATCTAACCATGTCAGGAAAGATCAACACATCCCCATTAGATGTCTCAGTTCCATCATGACCCTCACATATCGTTAACCGAGTCTAGTAAAGTAAAGAGAATAAATCACAAGTCCATCACAATGTCAAAAAATATGGCGTAACGATTGTTTGAAGATCCCACATCGAATACTCATACAACGAAAAATAGAGTATATAAGTGTGCAACCCTCGTTTTAACACATCGTACGAACAAAATCGAAAAGAGAGGAACAGTAGTGAGTACCTCCTTCTTCATCTGACTCTTTCTTGCGACAACGGCGGCGTAGAGCAACCTCGGCAAGCGATCGAACTCTGCCGCTTCTATTCGCGGTGGCCAGACGCGAGGGTTCTTATAACAGAGGAAGACGTGGCGTTGGTAGAACTCGACGGAGCCGGAGAGGGGGTTCTGACGGAAATCAGGACGGTAGAATCCGAAGTCGGGATCAGCGGCGGCGGCGTCACCGGCGGAGAGGAGGCCGTCGTTCTGGAAGCTTCCGGAGGCGCTTCTGGGGTCGGCGAGGTAACTGTCGAGTTGGTCGGAGACGGTGATGGGGGAAGAATGAGAAGAGGAAGAAGGGATTGTGAATGTAAGAGACTCATCTCTCTCTCTGTTACTCGCCATGTCAGACCAAAACCACGCTTCAGTGATGAGTGATGACTGTCTCTCTTTCTACTTCCACGAATCGAATACAGGACCAGGCCAGGCTCCGTTCCTCTGCGCCTCGGACTACCATTTCTAAGTGTTCCTTCCTAATGTCACACGTGTCTCTCAGGGTCAGGGGCTTCCAACCAACGGTCCAATGCACAAAATTTTGGGAACCCCCGTTTTTTCCCTTTTTATTTAATATCATATACCGTAAGATCCAAATATTTAAAATCAACATTTATTATCTACTAAAGGCTAAACCTTTCTATTTCTCCTTCCAAATCTTTATTTTTCTACGTAATCTTTCTGTTCATGGATAGGGTTCGTTACACTTTTACAAGGACCTCAATGTCATTTGAAATATATTTTTATTTGAAATTTTTGTCAATGCAACAAATGAATTCTTTTTTCTATAATTTAAATTAGATAAAAGGTTAAAAAAAATTCTTAAATATTTTTGTCGATTTCATTTTTAAATATATTAAAAATTAATTCACAAATAAATATAATAAATGAAAATTGAATTATATAAAAAATTTTAAAAAAAATATTAAAAACATTGTTGTTAAAGAAAAATTCTTAAAAATTCATAGTTTATGTTAGTATATAAGTTGATGAATTAAATTTTATTTAAGTATTTATTATAACAATATACTTATTTTTGTCTCCATTTAAATTATTCATGAACATTTATTCTCTTTTATTATATTTTAATTTTTTTAACCAACGTATTTCTTAGGAGTAAAATAAAAAATATTTATAAAAAATAATTGTCTACTCAATCAATGATAACTACTCATTTATTTTTGTAATCAGTCTCTATTTTTATTTAAAACTATTTTAAACATAATTAGCTATACATATCTAATTTGACCTACATATTAAAATCTGTATTATTTTTATATTATATTATATTTTTAAATGAAATTCATAGAGACATGAAACGTCTCTCTTAGCTTTTTTTTTGTTTGTTTTTTAAGAAAAAATATATGTAAGTATTGCTTGATTTATTGTGAGGGGCTATATAACTATGATTAGATTATCTTTCTTGGCCCCCTTCATCCACCAAAAAGAAATATTATCATTCTTGTGATTAGGCGGTGCTTTTACGGGAGGCAGCATCTTATTACCTAATATACAATTATAATTTTAGTATAATGGATGTAGATATAGTATTGTTTGTTGTTTGCCGTGCCAACCATTAACTAGACCCTTGATCGTTACATGACACCAATGTGTTCCGTCATCCAAACATGCAAACAATCTATAATCTAAAATAAATTTTAATAATCTTGTCTTAATATTTTTTTAGTCTTTCCCATTTTATTACAAAAAAATTATTTTTTTACAAGTAAAACAACAAAAAAAAACTATTCCTCACCAGATATCCCGAGAGTTTATTGGTCCTCTTCTTCCATGGTCAAATTACCTAATTATATATATATATATATATATCGGTGCCTTAAATGTAATTTCTTTAATTTTTATAATGTCTTTTTGTAACATGTTTTCTAGAAAGAAAAACTGCTTGAAGCAACATCTCATCTTTGCCTCAAAAATACAGTTTTTCTATTCATCAAGAAGAAAATTCAAATGCATTTCTGTAATTTTTTTCTCAGATAAATTTTATGTATATTTGGCCAAATAACTTGAGTCAACTATCCATCTAGCAGAGTTCACATGAAACTTTTCTACTTATATGCAATGTTTAAAAGAGTAATAAAAGTATTTTATTTTATTTTTCGATATATATATGAATTGTTTTACCAGCACTCAATGAAGCATCAAATAATTGGGAAGAAGAATAACCAGATAGATTACGATGTAGTTTTTGATAGTTATCATACTTCCCAGACATCAAATAACAATATACAATAATCTACTACTCAAGTTGCCTTAATAAAATAGTTGTGACCAAACTATTAACATTTCAAAATTATTTTACCTCATACCATGATGACAGAAGAAACCTGATTGCATTAACCTCAACTTTCGCACAAGCTATTATGTCTCTCAAATTCATGATCTGCACAAAACTGTAACAAATTTCACTGAGGATTCTCCCCGGGAAGGTAAGAAGGGGATCCTCCCTCAACCTGGTTCTTCTTCCTGTGAAAGATGCCACTGATATTTGGCAACAGAACTTTCTTTGAAACTGACACTTTTCCTTTTTCTAACTTCTTCATCTCCACCTTGTTTGGAGGTGAATTCTGCTTCTGAATCCTGTAGTGCTGAGGAGACAGTTCTGGTGACATCCGTGTTTCAGCCAAAATTTGCGATGCAACTTCTGCAGCTTTCTTCTGTTCGCGTTCGCGCCATTTTCTGAGCTCACTCTCCACTGCCCTCCTTGCTGCATCAGCCATGTTTGCCCTTTTCATGGCTTCCTGTGTTTCAGTCTTTATGTCCTCAATTTCCTTCTGAGTTTCCTCTAACCTTTTAAGAACTTCATTTTCACTAGCCTTTGCAGCTTCAACCTGTGCTGTGGCAGCAGCCACTTTTATGTCTGCTAATTTATCACACTCCTCAGCCTTATGAACTAAGGACTCAAACTCCTCCCTTGAGATTGTAATCTTTGCACCAGACTCAGAAGTTGATGAATGAGCAGCATCACTAGTACTCGCAGATAAGACCCTAATCTGATCAAGAGCACTTGCTTCTGCTGCTTTAGCTTCTTCTGCTTCTTCCAATGCTTCTTTAAGCTTTATTTCTGCATCTTCAAACACAAGTTTGGTGACTTCAGCTTCCATCTTCAATTCTGCTGCCTCATTCTTCATAGCTTGTGTTTCCCTCCTTGCATTTTCAGTTTCCAACAACAACTGGTTCAATGTCAAGATCATTTCCTCTGATGCACCTCTAGCCTTTGATTCTTTGGCCAAGTTGGCTTCAATTTCAGCCTCACTTTTCTGGAGCTCTAACCGCAGACTCTCAACAATTGACTCAGTTTTGGATTCTTTCTCCTTCAATTCATAGTGTTCTCTTTGCACATTCTCCAGCTCCATCCTAAGAGCTTCCACCGTGCTTCTAACAGAATTTTCTTGTCCTGATAATTTCAGCAGTAATTCCTTAGCATCATCAAGCCCCACAGTAACACTTTTCAAAGAGTCCAGGTCTGATTTCTTTGTATTTTCCATTTGCTCTTGAAGACTCCCAATTTCATTCATTGTCTCAGACAGCTGCACTTCAAGATTTTTGGTAAGCTCTGGATTGAATTCATTCTTTAAATCAAGCAAATTCTTCTTTATTTCTTCAAGTTTAGCTTCATATGATTGTCTCAGAACGTTATGCTCGGCTAATATCTCTTCTTGCAGTTGTTGTGCTTGGACAGATGCAGCCTTCATTGGCTCAATGGATTCCTGTACAGCCAAAATTTCTTTAGATAACTCAGATGCTCTTTCGGTGTTTGCCTTCGTTGCATCTTCAGCTTCTGCTGCTTGCTTGAGAGCAGTAACTCTTGCTTCCAAGGATAAATCATACCCCTGACGAATTTGACTCAGTTCTTGCTTTGCAACATCAAGTTCTTTAATGGTAGAAGCATAACCTTTTACAGCAGTTTCTAACTCTTCTTTCCAAGCACCATTGGTTCCATCAAGATCACCACATTTTTCTTCTTTCAGCTTTTTTGCTTGACTATTAGAATCTTCTGTTGCCTGAACTGCTGACTCTCTGGATTCACCGAGAACTTTAAGCTTTTGTGTCAGTTCCTCAACCACTCTTTTAGCCTTTTCAAGCTCCACCTCAACTTGAGCCTTGGTAGTTTCTGCATTCTTTAGTTGTTCCTTTAATTTTGTGAGCTCTTTCTGGGCTAAGTGAAGTTGTGACTCCTTTGCCCAAACACTCTAATGAAATAACAAAGCTTGTAAGTTGTCCCGGACACTAGAAACCCACTTAAAATCTAGTCTAAACCATAGAAACAATTTTCACTTATAGAGCTTGTCATTAAGCACGATATTGAATTGTATAGAACAGATTGTCAAAATTTAAAGATTTAATTATTATTATTGTAATATGAGAGATTAAAGATTTCAAACTAACAAGATCAAATGTCCCCAATTTCTTTCACGTTTCACCCCGCCCAAACTTTTTCCATCAGAACACGTAGTGAAAACACAAATTTAGATTCATAACCTCTAAACCATTGCTAGAAATGAATTACACTAAAGTTATTGGTCCATTATACTTCTTGATATGCAAATTCAGATATAGTTTTACAATTACGGTATAGTACTTGTAGCTTGTAACGCCTAGAAATGTAAACAAAATAAAACAAAAACAAAACACAGTTACCTCAGCAAAATAAGATTTTGCCTTCTTAATGACAGGTTTTTCACCAGACAAAGCACCTTCAGCAAATAGAGAAACAGCATCTTTAACAGATTGAATAGGTGGACTGGTGTCAATCTCTCCAACCACTGGTTTTGTTGGATTTGGAGAGTTAACAACACTTTGCCTGATTTTAGCCACCATAATGCTTTTTATTTAAATTATAATGATAACAATAACAGCCTCTGAATCCAACCTGCCAAAAAGATTGATGTTACACGTAAGAAACTGAAAGAAAAACATCATCAACACCACACATTATGAACATCAAACTCAAAAACAATCCTACATTTCAAAGATCTCTTTTCAAATCCACTCAAAAACAACCACCAAGTAGCCTATTCATACATTTTAACAAAACCCCGTGAACTAAACCGCATCAAAGTTTCAATCTTTCGCTGAACCCACAAGAAAAAAAAATGAAAAAGAACCTCTAAAGGGGTGGTTCTTGAAAATTTTGCAGACAGCGTGGAATCTGTGGCATTGAATCGCGGCGAAGAATCTTCACATGCTTGTGAGGAGGGAAAGAGAGAAATGGGTTTAGTTGAAGTGAAAATGTGGAAAGTGTGGTGTGATAAAGACAAATTGTGCATCAAGAAGTGAGGTTGAGTTGAGAGAGTAAAAAGGGAATAATCATGTGCAATCGTTGGTATTAAAGATTAAAGATTCCTCTAAATCTAATTCAGGTAAAAAATGATTTTTATACGCACAAGAATCACAGTGCCTGTGATGTGAGCTCACTACTCAGTGTTGTGTTGTGGCTTTTGAGGAGCCTTGTTATGTAAAATCCTGTCAGAATAAAAGGTGCAGTAAAGATGGGGTCGCCACGTCACAACCGTCCAAGAAAAACACAAGGAATTCTTTTTATTTTTATTTTTTATTTAATGTTAGAGATAAAGAAAGAAAAAAGAAAATGAGAGAAACAAAAAGGAAAACAAAAATGAGAGTGACGGTGATGCAAATCAAAAACAAGGCAAAAAGACAAACTCTGTAGTCCTTTTTCCTTTCCACAATGTCTCAAACATTTGCCAGCAATTATTTGGGACACTCATGCTCCTTCGGTTGCCCATAACTCTTCATAGGTAAAATATTTGTTCATTTATATAAATAAATAATAATGTATTTTGTAAATCTAATATAGCATACTTCCGGTAAAAAGAATAGAAAATAATTGTTATTTATATATATAAAAAATTATGATATTGTTTTCAATTTTTTATTTTTTTATCATAGTCAAATGCATTTATTATATTAGATATAATGTGTAATTACTTGTTTATACGGACAATAAATTATTTTATCTCGTGGGGATTTTATTGTATAGAACGGAAGCATGGGTTTTCCCTGGGTTATATTTTTAGGTTTTTACTGAATTAAATTATATTGATTGAGTGAGATTGGCATCGGATTCCATTTTCTTGGTCGATATGTTTTTTTCACTTATTTGATGGAGTATTTAAATAAAATATATAAGTTTCAATGCTTTGTATATGTTAGTCATAAAACTCAAAAGAAGAAAGAGATTAGTGTATGATCTCGGAAATGTATTGTACCGGAGAGACCGTATCGGTCACGTGGGCTAACACGTGCCATTTCGTCAGACCCTCATGTATAGTAAGCCACGTACAAGCATTACCATTAACGTCGGCTCGGCATGAGGCCGAGAACCAACATCAGTCTGGTTAATGCCAATATGGACCATCATCACTCATCGAGTCGGCTCAGTCAAGTACCGTTCCGACATAAGTCAAACCGGAAGTATACAAGCTGCCGTATACAGACTAGACGGCTCGGTCATTTGCCGTTCCGACTAGTATTGAATAGTCGGCTCGGCCTCTTGCCGAAGGGTTAAACAAGTTATAACAGTAATCACAATTAAGAAAGGTAAGTACATGATTAAAGCCTAACAACCAATTAGTACCGTATTACCTAATTTGGTAAATATCTGAGAGGGCCCATCACGCTCAGGCCCATGTCAGATACTATAAATAGGTCACACATAACAAGGTATGTCACTGTTCATTAATTATCCTAGAATATCGTGCTTGTCCTGACTTGAGCGTCGGAGTACCTTTTGCAGGTACCTCCCCCCTCTGACGAATCCGTTTGAAGTATCTGTTCGGCCCTTCTTACCCAGAAGACTACGAGTGTATCCTTGAGCAGGTACAGTATTCATTTACGATTTTGTTAAAAGGGTGATTTTAAACATTTAAAAGCTACGTTTTATTATTGAGAAAGAAAACTCTTGTTATAATATTAAAGATATTAAAAAAAATTGACGAAAAATTATACTATGATATTTAAATATTTAGAAGCGATCTGAATATTGATGTTAAGACTTAAGATCTTTTTATTAAAATAAAAATTGAACTAGGAATAGAAGTTACAGTGGTGTTGTTAAGATTGTGATTGTGTGGATGATAGGAGAATGATGTGTGAATGTGTTGGGGACAAAATCTCACAGAATAACATGGCAAGTATATATACGTCCCTTTCTATTATGTGAACCCAGAATGGTGGGCCTTGGATAAGTCAGCTTGACCTACAAATGGATTGAAGTGGGTTAGGGCAGCTACTATGTATTTAAAGGTCCATTATACACTCTTTTCAACTCCTTTTTCTTATTTTGGTTACTTTTCTACATCCACACTATGTCATCAAAAATTATATAAATTATTTCAATATTTACTCTCTTTTTCTTTAAAAATTTTAAAGTGAGAAGAATATAATTTGGAGAAAAAAAATACAGTAATAACTATTAATTAGAAAAATGGATGGTTAATATTATAATTAATTTTAATTATTTGATTTTATTACATTTTTCATCTATTAGATCTTTAATTAAGGATTGTGAATGCATTTTATAAAGTAGTGCGATTTTTTTTTTTGAAAGTATATGAAACAATAGTATGTGCTCCATGGCAGGACAATCGTATCCCAGTTTGATGGAATTAGATCCAACGATCGAAATGTTTATAACAATTCATCACTCATAATTTCAACCCAAAAACTCAAATATGAACAAATATGTTCACTTAAGTTATTTTTGTAAGTGCGTATGATCGTTATCTATATCACCTCATGGAACTACAACCACTAGTGATTTAGTGACTGTATCATAAAATTTGTATATTATTTTCTTGAGGAGTGTGAAGAACATGTTCATATAGTTATACTTAAACTTCTCCATTTTAAAGAAGGGGGGTGGAAATTATGTAATAGATTGAATGATATGTATTTAATATTTTTTTCATTACTAAGTTGCATTCTCCGTCTAATACAAAATCTTAATAATATTTATTTATTGAATAATATTTATTTATCAAACATAGTGTGTCAGCTTGTCATCCTTTTATTGTGATGACACCTATGAACTCAACATCCATTAATTGTAAGAACCCACTGTTGTTTGAAATAGAGGGCTTTGCACAAACAATAAGGACTAAGGCATTGTGCTTTGAAATAGAAAACTTTCTGGACAAACACAACTATATCCTTCCAACATACCATATATGTTGCAAAACCTAATATGACTATCCTTTCATTACTTTCTGACACTTCAATAACACTATATATGGATGAACCTACTTTTGGAACCAAATCAAATGATAATTCATCATGAGTACAAGCATGCAAGTCCATGTCTAGGTATCTCTATCATCACTTTGTGAATACCTTATGTTTTAGCAATTAACATTATCATAGTTTTTTTTTATAATTTATTTTATATTAGGCAAACCCTTATGAATTTAGGAATACGTGAGTACTGTAAACTGCTTTCATATTTGTTTTTGATTTTAATGGATGAAAAAAATAATTACAATATTTTTTACTTTTTATAATTATTCTTGTATGGTAAAAGTTGAGACTTCAATTAAAAAATAATTTAATTTCATAGAAGTCATAAGTGCATATTAATTATTGGTTATTTGTATTTTAAAATGTTCATTTTAATCATTTATCTCTTAAATTTGAATTTATTCAATCTTTTTGAATCAATGACTATTTTTAATTTTGATAGATAATTTTAAATTTTTTATTAATTGATTCGAGACTTAAAGTTTATCTCATTAAATTTATCTATATGAAAAATATTAACCACACATGAAGTTTAAACAAAAAAAATATTATAAATATGATGAAAGTTACATATAATAAATCTCAAAAGTGATAAAAAAATAAAAAAAAATTAATTTCATAGTATTTTATAATTACTTGTGAGATATATTTTTATATGATCTTTACTATATATATAACTTTTTTTATTCAAACGCTAATTGAATTCCATAGATTTCATATATGTAAATCAAATGAGACAAATTTTAAGTTTTGAATTTGTCAATCAAAGATTCAAAATTGTCTCTTAAAATTAAAAAAGTATTATTATTTAAAAAAATTCAATAAATCCAAAATTAAGAAATAAAAGACTAAATTTAATATTTTAAAAGATAGAGAACAAAAATAAATAAAAAAATAAGATAAAAGAAGAAAACCTTTTTTATTCTTCAGTTTATCTTATTTTTTGGAATAGTTCAGACTATTGACTTGACAATGTCCAATTATTTATAGTCAGTTTTTAATAAGAAAATATTACATTCACATTCACAAGGTTTATTATATAATCTCCTTAATAAATATGATCAGATCAGGATTTCCGACTGCTATTTATTTCTTAAGTAAATTTCATCCTTCAATTAATATTACGTGCCTTAGCCGTCTCAACATTTTTTTTTCTTGTTTCCGTCCTACAAATCTTTCAACAGATAGTTACAGTTATTGTAATATAAAGTAAGAAGAAGTTCACATTTTTCACGTGTAAACGATATTTTATACAAAAAATTAGTTATCTTAAATTTCATTCAATTCCTATATTTAATAGATATTTTACATTTATTATTATATTTACAAATTTTAACATTTAAAATAAAAATATTATACTTATAAATTTAAATAAAAATCTGAAGGTTTTAATTTATAACTATTACTTTATTTATCATTTATAATTAATATACACGTCTAATAGTATTACAAAAAAACCATTAATATGTATTTTTTATCATATAAAATAAGGGAATTTTGGCATATTTTTCCTACTCAAAATAAGATATTTAGTTTTTTTCGTTACTTTATTTATACTGGTGTAATAACCTGTATCAAGCACGAGTGTTAAGTTTATAATATTTACTTTTTATTATAATATTTTTAATGCGTTTTTAATCTTATATAATATGTTAGCGTGTCTATATTATATATATATATATATAAATCACAACAACTATTACCACCCTTACCATAATTATTGGTAACAATAATAATAATGACAATGACAATAATAACATCAATGATGATAATAGTATCACCAATTCCTATGAAAGTAGTAATATTAAAAATGATAACATATCACTCTATAATCCACTATTCTAATGTCAATAGTCACAACAACTATTACCACCCTTATCATAATTATTGATAACAATAATAATAATAATGACAATGACAATAATAACAACAATGATGATAATATTACCACGGATTCCTATGAAAGTAGTAATATAAAAAATGATAACATATCACTCTATAATCCTCATATATATATATATATATATATATATATATAAACGAAAATTAATTAGGTGAAAAAATTCTTAAAATATTAAATATTAGTTAAGTGAGAATATATCGTAAAATAATAAAAATATTCATTTTTTGTATTTTTTTATTATAATATTAGAAGAAATATTCATTCTCATGATTAACCCATATTAAAATTATTATAACTAAATTATAAAACTAAGAAAATTATATATAACAAGTTTTTGTTGATAATTGAGGTATTACCGTATTAATGTGTTTTTATGTCAAAAGTTTACTTTCATATAATACGGACGTTATAATGAGAAAACTTTTATAATGAAAGCAAACGATAACAAATTTTTTATTAAAATTAAGAATAATAAATTATTGAGATTAAAATTTAGTTAGCTTAATTATATTTTTTGACTCTTTAAATATAATAATTATGTGATTTTAATTTTTTAAGTTTAAATTAGGCAAATTAATTTTCTCAAGCATCACAATTTAATTACAATTTAATTTGATTTCTTTATAAACTTTTTAATAAATATTATGTTCGATTAAGTGGATAATAGGTGCTAATATGACATAATAGTGTATGAGTTAATTACCTATACACTGTCAGTGTAAAATTTTTTTACACTGACAACCAATTATATCTTTTAATTATACTATGTCACTATAAACACATTTACTTTTAATAGTGACATGACACAATTAAAAGATATAATTAATTGTCAGTGTAAAATTTTTTTACAAGTGTATAGGTGATTAACTCACAGTATATTGTGTGGAAATAAGATTAGAAGGTTGTTAAAATGTAAAAGATAAAAATTGAACTCCTCACTATTACTTCCAACACTAACACTTACATGTTTAACCAGTGAATTTTTATTTTTATTTTTTATGTAAAAACAAAAATTCACCCTTACATACTAAACATCATTTTAGAATTTTTTTTAAAACTTTTTATTTGAATATGTTTTATTTATCTTTTTTTTTAAAATTAAATTTTAATATTTTCAAAATAAATTATTAATATTATAGATATTTTAATCATAATATAAATTATTTAATATAAGATATATATTTAAAAATATTTATTTATATAAAATTTAACTATAATTTATATATTTAAATAAAATATTTATTTTATATAATTTATTATAAATTTTAATTATATATAACAAACATTAAAATGGGAGGATTGTATATAAGAAGGCATGGAAATTGGGTGGTGGCTGTGAGATGGAGAAACGAGAATGAAAATGGGAGAAGATGATGATGCTGCTTTCTTCCACACAAAACAAGCATCATTCCGAGGCCTTTACAAGCTTTTTGCGTCCACCACCTTCATTTGGATCTACAGACTCGCAAACTACCCATCTGGGCCTGCGAGGTGGGCTTGGTTTTCTCTCTTCCTCTCTGAGTGGGCTTTTGGATTCTACTGGATCATCAGTCTGTTCGCTGGAGAATCCTCTATCAAACGCCTCTCAAGCACGCACTTCAACATAGGTTACTCTTACTTTCTCACTCATTTGCACCACCACAATCCACAAGCCAAATCTTAAATTCTAAATACTATATTTAGCTCCAAAAACACTACACACATGTCTACTTTTTCTTTAATCTTACTTTTTCATTTTATTATATCATTTTTACAAACTACTATTCATATAATTTTTTTTAAATACTTATTGTGAAACTCAAATAAACCTATTTAAATGACTATTTGTAATTGCATCACTATCAAATCCATTATTTACTACATCTACCAATTTCTCTTATTATTATTATTATTATTATTATATATTTTTCATTTTTACCTTCTCCCCACTCTTATAACTTACTACAACTACAAGTCTAAGTTTTTTCTTTTTTCTTTTTTATTTTTACAAAAATGTGAAAACTGAAAAAAGAGAAACTGGGAAATATAGCTTGTACCATTTTTTTTTCTTTTGATATATTTTATTGTTAAATTCCGAGAGGAAATACTTTATTATTTATAATAATTTCATTTCGATTCAAATCAATCAAACGTTTAATTGCGTTTTATCTATCAAATATAGTTGTACAGTTTAAGTTTTTAAAATTTTATTTATTTGAATAATTTTAATTTTTTAAGTATTATAATTATAGAATTTTAATTATTTTTACTTTTTAGTTGAATTAATAATCCTAATCCCTCAAAATATTATAATTTCATATACAGATATGATGAGGAAAGTTTACCAGGAGTGGACATTTTTGTGTGTACGGCTGACCCAATGCTGGAGGCTCCATGTATGGTGATTAACAGCGTATTATCAGCAATGGCCTTCAATTATCCTGCCAATAAATTGAGTGTGTATCTCTCCGACGACGGAGGCTCAGACCTAACATTCTATGCTCTCTTAAGGGCTTCCATTTTCTCCAAACATTGGTTACCCTTTTGTTCAAGATTCAACGTTCAACATCGCTCACCCGAGCCATTCTTTGCCACCCAATATTCTACTACTAGTAATAACACTCACTATTCCCAAGCATGCTTATTCATCAAGGTACCTACATATATAACTTTTTTATCAAATTATTTATTTTATTTTGCCCCCCATCTCACTCCATATATATTCTTTTACAGAAACTGTATGAAGAAATGAAAAATGAGATTGAATCAGCCGTAGCAAAGGGGAAGGTTCCAGAGTCGTATATGAGAAATGAACACGTAGGATTCTCAGAATGGAACCCAAAAACAACAAAGCAGGATCACCACCCTATCGTGCAGGTCACTATATATCACCATTTTAATAACAATTAACGTACTTAATTTCTTAACTTATATATATTAATAAATAAATAAAATAAGCTTATTTTTTAATATAACATTTAATCTATATATATTTTATTAGATTGTAATCGATGGAAGGGACAAGGATGCTGTAGATGAAGACGGATTTCAACCGCCAACACTCGTATACCTATCACGCGAGAAAAGACCAAACTACCCTCACCACTTCAAAGCAGGAGCTATTAATGCATTGGTGAGATATATATAGGACAAATTATGAAGTCATTAAAATATTTAACTTTAAATTATTTAATTAATGATCATAATTTTAATATATGATGGTTTTTCACTTATTTTAGAAACTTATCCTTTATTTTCTTTTCCCCAGTGATGGCCTTATTTTCAAACAGTGTATTTCGCTTAAATGGACATATTAATATGATACGCGTAGTCACATCACAAGTTTCTTAATTTCTACAGATAAGGGTGTCATCCGAGATAAGCAATGCCCCTTTCATCCTCAACTTGGATTGCGATATGTGCTCCAATAATGCAGATACAATTAAAGAAGTACTATGCTTCTTCCTTGATCAAACAAAAGGCCACGATATAGCTTATGTGCAATTTCCACAGTGGTTTCATAACATCACCAAAAATGACCATTATGGAAATTCTTGTGTTGTCACCAATAAGGTGGGTAATTAATAAAATAAGCTAATTACTTTAGTTAACCTATAAAATTTTCATGTGTATATATATTGAAGTTGTAACCTAAAATCTCATGTATATTATTTTACTCCTTTTTTTTTCTATTAGGTCGACATCAGTTATTTATGAGCTTATAAATTTAAATATGGTATTTATATAAATAGACTAACACTATATTGTGTCTGATTTTCTAATGTGCATATATATAAAGTTTGAGCTAGCTGGCATAAGTGGATATGGAGCAGCCATGTTTTGTGGAACTGGGTGTTTACATCGAAGAGAAAGTTTATCAGGAGCTTACTTGAGAGATTACAAAGCAAAATGGGACTTCAAATCTAAAACAATCAACAACAGAACAGTTCACGAATTGAACCAAGCATCCAAGGCTCTTGCCACTTGCACCTACGAGGAGGGAACTCAATGGGGAAAGGGGAGGTAACAAATCCACTCTCCAGTATAAGAAAAAAAGTTAATTCACTCTAACAAATTTAATTAATATAATTTAATTTCATTCATTTCATTTAAAAAATAATTTATTTCTCTACATTATCCTTTATTGAAACTTGATATCAAAGATAAAAATCACTCATTAATTAAAAATACAATCTACGGTATTTTGAAAATGACATAATTAAATAAGATAAAAAAAAATTAGTTGACATTTTTGTATATATTTAAAGTCAACAAAAATATATTTTTTTCTTGACAAAAATTGCTTTTTCGTGACAAATAATATTAAATGATAATTTAATTTAAAAAAGTTAATATATAAATTGTTTGACGTCACTAATTTTAATATTTCTCTGTGAGTAGATTTTTGGCTAAAAATTTACAATATTTGAGAATAATTTATGAATCATGCAGAAGGGATTAGTATATGGTATTCCCGTGGAAGACGTTGTGAGTGGCCTTGCAATCTCATGCAGGGGTTGGAAATCAATTTATTACAACCCGGAAAGGAAGGCTTTCGTGGGTGTAGCTCCAACAACCTTGGATGTGGCATTTGTTCAGCATAAGAGGTGGTCAGAAGGCACGTTCCAGATCTTCTTATCAAAGTATTGCCCTTTCATTTATGGGCATGGGAAGATACACTTGGGTGTACAAATGGGGTATTGCGTTTACCTCTTATGGGCTCCTATGTCCCTACCCTTTCTGTGTTATGTCATTGTCCCTCCTATTTGCTTGCTTCATGGCATTCCCTTGTTCCCAAAGGTTCTCTTCTCTCCTCAATCTAAATTTGATTCCCTATTTCTAATTTCACTTTTCAAGTACAAAATTATCATCTTGTTTACAAAGATCATCGATCCATGATATGAATAAATAAATAAATAAAGATGTTAATAAAGTTATATGGATATAAACTAAAAATATTTATGAAAATTTCTCTATTAAAAAAAGCCTTTTATTTTTATTAAAGGGGATTTTAAAAATATTTCTAAATTTATATTCAAACAAAATCTTAATGTATAACCGATTCTAAACACCATTGTGATTAGAGTTATTGTAAAATACACCTTATAAAGTTGTTTTTAGTGTTTTATGTAGAGATCTTTGAAAATAAGAAGACGGTTTTGTAATTGAAAAGTGAAAACAGAAAACAAAACCTTAACTTTTTTGGATTTATTTATCTCTACTCGATGTTTTTGCAGCTTTCAAGCATTTGGGTCCTTCCATTTGCATATGCATTTCTTGCAACCTATGGCTATAGCTTGTGTGAGTATTTGAGCTGTGGGCACCCAGCAAAGGGTTGGTGGAACTTACAAAGAATCAAGCTCATGCATAGAACCACCTCATATTTCTTTGGTTTCATTGACACCGTGACCAAACAATTAGGACTATCACAGACAAACTTTGCCATCACAGATAAAGTGGTAACTGAGGACGTGCAAACGAGATATGAGCAAGAGGTCATTGATTTTGGAGGCTCCTCAAATTCAATCATGTTAATCATATTGGCAACAGTGGCATTGCTAAACCTTTTTGGTCTCGTTGGGGGAATCAAGAGGATTCTAGTGGACATGGAATTCAGCTCAAGCCAATTTGTGGTGCAGATTGCACTGAGTTCATTGGTAGCGATGATCAATTGTATGTCCTGTTAAGACTGTCCACTGCCCCCCAATAAGGCATGACAATTAAAAATTAGGATGTACAAGCTCGAACATGGAAGTAATATATTTTCCATCCCCCATAAACAGGTAAAGCAAAATGAATTGTGCCTGCAATCTGGCTAGGTTAACAACACCTTGACATTAGTTTCATTTCTTTCCTCAACATTTAGACCCATGAGTGAAGATGATATAACCAACTCATGCCTATCAATCAGCTTCCATGTCAACGAACTCATAAGCTCACATCAAAATAAAGAATCATCCTGCATTATACCAATCCCAACCATGAATTGTTGCATTATTGGACAAACCAACTTGCAGAATCAGAAGCTAAACTGACATAAAAGGAAGTCTATGTCATTTAAGCAAGGAAGCATAGCACTATAGCAGCTTCGAGATGCTTCGAGATGGTCTCGGGTTTGAAAGTCAATTTCTGCAAGAGCAACTTCGGAGCTTTGGGAATTGAATCTGGTTTGGTGGAAAGCTATGCGCACTTATTGAATTGCAAAATTTTATCCTTTCCTTTCACATATCTAGGGATTCCCATTGGCGCCAATCCAAGAAAGAAAGACACGTGGAGGCCCATTGTTATCAAAATTCAGAAAAAGTTGTCATCATGGAAATGCAAGGTCCTATCAATGGCTGGTAGAGTGTGCTTACTGAACTCAGTTTTAACCTCGCTACCATTATTATTTCTCTCTTTTTTCAGAATTCCACCTAGTGTCAGCAAAGAAATTGTTAGTCTACAAAGAAACTTTCTGTGGGGATGTAAGGAAGATCAACGCAAGATTTGCTGGATAAGCTGGGATAGGGTGACGTTGCCAAAGAAGATGGGGGGATTAGGAGTCAAAAATATTATCAGGTTTAATATGGCTTTGCTGGCCAAGTGGAGGTGGTCGTTGTTTCACCAAAATGATTCTCTATGGGCCAGAGTATTATATTCGAGATATGGTGGGGGGACAAACCTTTGTGCTCAAAGTAGTTCCCGAAGAGATTCCTTATGGTGGAGGGATCTAGTTGTGGTATGTGGCGGACTAGAACAAGACAATTGGTTTGATAGGAAGGTTAAGTGGAGTATTGGATCAGGATCAAGAGTGAGGTTTTGGTTGGATAAGTGGATAGGCCCAATCTGTCTAGCAAGTCTTTTTCCGAGGTTATTCACTATTTCTGAACAGCAAAACCAGTTTATTCAGGATATGGGCTATTGGACAGGCCATAGGTGGGCATGGCAGCTACATTGGAGACGGGAAAGGTTCGAATGGGAGATACCGCTGGAGCAGCAATTAATGCAACGACTCTTGGAGTGTAATCCTAGGGCGAGGCAGGTTGACTCATGGTGGTGGTTGGGTGAACCGTCTGGAACTTATACAGTCAGGTCTGCATATAGTGCCATCACCTCTGAAGCTGATGTAGGATCCAATATTGGTGCACCTAGCAGTGTTTGGTCCATCCCGGCACCACCAAAAGCTAAAATTTTTGCTTGGAGAATGATGAGTAGGGGCCTCCCTACGGTGGATAATCTGGCTAGCAGGAGTATTGTCTTATCAGAAAATGATGCACTATGTGTTTTTTGTAAGAGTGATATTGAAACTGATTATCATTTGTTCTGCACCTGCCCGGTGGTTGACAAGGTATGGAAGGTATGTCTGTCGTGGATTAATTGTCCCGCTCCCCTTCCTAGGTGCATTTTGGACCATTTCAACTTCATTCCTGGACCTTTTCACCAAAGTACACAAGCTGTTTATTGGCGTACGGTGTGGCTGGTAACTACTTGGATAGTGTGGAGGACAAGGAATCTATGTAGGTTCAAGGATAGCAGCTTCTGTTTTGATAGTATGGTGAAAGAGATTCAGGTTCACAGTTGGAGGTGGTTGTCATCCTTCACAAAGTCTTTCCGGTATAGTTTTTCACAATGGTGCTGCAATCCTGGTCTATGTTTAACTAGATGCCTGGTGTTTGATTTCCAAAAGCTGCATATCCAAAGCATCCACAGCAGAGGTAGAAGAATGTTGTAATGAGGATAGAAATAGTGGAGGCCTTTTTCATGGTCTTGTTTTCTGATGGAGACTCAAGAGAGGCACTTTTTATTCGTATTGATAAACGGTGCATATCATCCTCAGTTATGTTCAAGTCTATTGTCTTGGCTTCCTTGGCTTCTTGCCTAGGATCTTTCATCTGCTAGTCTAGTGCAATATTGAAACTTGAAAGTGTGGTGATAATTAAGAATCTCTATTGATTCCATATTTGGCTTCATTACTCGATGCTTTAAGTGTGTGTGCTAGTTAAACTATGTATTAAAGTACTCTTTGCTTTCCATTGTATCTGGACATACATTTAGCCACTAATAATTATTATATTGATTCGCTACAAAAAGTAAACTGAAAATTGTCTTTCTAATTGTGTCTATTATTGCCTTTCAACCCTATTTCCTTGATTGGAAAACTCTCCCTAGTTGATTGTTAAATTCATTATATCTCTCAGTAATTTCCGAGTCGAAACAGTTTTCTGTGACCAATCCTTAAGTAGGGAAAATGATCTTAATGCTATGTTAGGGAAAGTAAGTCTAATTCAACAGTGAATTAGATTTTTGCATTCTAAAGATTCTTTATTTATGCAAATTTTAGTTCTCATCAAATTTAAATTTTTTGAAAAATAATTTCGTCACTGTGTATGCCGTGTCCTTAACGATAATGATAAGAACCAATTTTAAAATTTTCAAAATCTGTTAAAAATAGTATAAAAAAAAAAAAACATATAAAAGGATTGAAATCGAATTTTTCCATAAGTAGGTTAATTAAGCATGTGAAAAATATCCATCATGGGTTAGACTTAGTCACTTGGGAGGTGCATTCGTCGTTTATCTTTCACTTTCGGGTTTTGGTCAGTGCAATACGGATCACACAACAACCTTACGTATTTGAGGAGGATATATATATCAATCATTGTGGCCATATGATAAAAGTAGGGAAAACAAATTAAAGAGAATTTAGTATTTTCATTTGAAAAGATGCTTGTTTTGTTCACCGTGAAAACCGAGAAACTAATAGGACCCACCTACATTTATATGTTTCTTTCTCTTCTTATAAACAATGATACGGAATTTGAAATTTAAAATTTATCCTTTGTCTTCCAAGCTCACTTTCCTTGTACTATGGATAGCAGTGAAAAGTATTCATTATTTGAGACTAAGAGGGATAGAGGAAGGCACTTTCGAAGGCTCTTTTCTATCTCTGTGTTTGTGGCCATATGCTTCATCTGGGCTTACAGATTGACCCACATACCCACAAACCATGGATTATGGGCTTTCCTTGGTTTGTTTGCCGCAGAACTCTGGTCCGGCCTCTACTGGCTCTTGGGCCAAGCCCTCCGCTGGAACCGCGTCTTCAGAAAACCCTTCCACAACACACTCTCTCAAAGGTTCATCTTCTACTCCTTTTCTTCCTTCTCTTCGTCTCACAAATTATTACTTCAATTTTATTTATAACAAATAATATACATAAAAGGAGAATTTAATTACCGTGTCACGTCAGCAAACTTTTTAACTACATGATTGTAATATTTAGAGAATAAAACTATACTCAAGTTTTTAAAAATTAATGGTGGAGAGTTGTGATAAAAGTAAAAATTAAAATTAATGTGACTGTGTTATAATTTGCGACAGGTACGAGAATAGTTTGCCAGGAGTAGACATACTTGTGTTCACAGCAGAGCCAGTGATTGAACCACCTATGATGGTGATTAATACAATATTATCTGTAATGGCTTATGACTATCCAGTTGAAAAGCTTAGTGTGTATCTGTCGGATGATGCTGGATCAGAGATAACTTTTTATGCTCTTTTAGAGGCCTCTACCTTTGCCAAGCACTGGCTACCATTCTGCAAGAGGTTCAAGGTGGAACCAAGATCACCTGAAGCTTATTTTACTATCTATGTCTCATCAACTCCACACGACCTTAATCATGCCAAAGACTTGGCAGCCATCAAGGTAAAGAGTAATATTTTGAGTTTACATGTTGCTTCTTGCAATCAAAATCCATAACTTATACCTAAATATTGTTGTGGTCCAAATTCACTAAATCAGTCAACCCTTCTATACAAATTAGTTAATTATTTAAAATTTCAAATTATATATATATATATATATATATTATTTAATTCATCATAATTATAATAACGTCAATAAAATTTAAATTTAGAATTTTTTTCATACTCCATCAAAATTAGAAATATATAGTTTTAGCTATAATGAGAATAACATTTTTTTTACTAATACTTATTTATAAGTATCCTCACCTCAAGTATCTAAGTTGCATTCACTTTTTTTTTTTTAAGAAATAAAATTTTATGCCTTGAGAGTGTATGTTGACAGAAAAAAAAAATCGAATAATTAAAAAGTATGACATGAGATGATTTATTTTTAAAACAAATGTTAGATATACCCTCTTTAATACTTTTTTTTTATAAATATTCTCTTTCTTACTAATATGTTAGTCTGTATATTTTAGGGCTAAATATTTATTATATATAATTAAAAATTATAATAAATTGTATATAAATAAATATTATATTTGAAATATATAAACTATATTTAAAATTAATTAATATATATATATAAATATATAAGTTATATTTTATATTAAATAAATAAATATGATATTTTAAATTATTGATAATAATAAATATAATGTATATTATATTATTAAAATTTATAGGAAATCACACATTTGATGCACTGTGGATGTTATTTAATAAGTCTCTTCATATTTAATGATAAAATTCATCAAAGTTTATGATTTTGAACCAACAAAAATATTAACTCTTAGAATCTTAGAGAGAATAGTGTAATTAGATTTTTTCAAAATTAAATATACACTACAAATAAATTGTCATATAGTGACACATGTACATCTTATAATGATATAATATATATTACTAAAAACTAATTTTACCTACAAAATAAATATAATATATGTTGGTATATTGTTAAAAAATGTGGGTATAATAGTGACACATAAAATATGTTATTAAATTTCATTTAAAATCAACACTAAAATTGTGCGTAGCTATATACCAAATAGATATATAACTATATATATTATACTTATAGTGACACTTTTTGTATGTCGTCACTATATGTAATATTTATTGTAGTGATATGAGTTACATTCTTTCATTTTACTGCAAAGAAGGATATCTATTTTTTTTAGAATTATTGGATTTGTATTTGTTTGTATAGAGGTATATTTATTATGAGGGTTAGATATTTTATTATCGTTACAAAAATGTTCTATCAATAAGATATTGTCTACTGTAAATTTATATTTTTATAATTTTATTTTTGAAATTTGTTTATTATTTAAAAGATTTTTTACTAATAATATATATATATATATATATATATTTATTTATTTATTTATTTATTTATTTTAAACTTTTATTTTAATGTTATGAAACCTTGTTTATATAATTGTATCCCAACTTTTGCTTCATACAACATTATTATATTTTTATTTTGTTGTAGAAATTATACGAAGATATGAAAAAACGAATAGAAGACGCAATCAAGTTAGGTGAAATACCTAGCAAAGCACGTTCAAAGCATAATGAATTTTCTCAATGGGATTCATATTCATCACGACATGATCATGGGACAATTCTAAAAGTGAGTTATACTTTCTCAACTTTTACTATGATACACTCGTGGTAAATTAAATCTAATTTAATTTTATAAAATCCACTAATAAAATAAAAATATATTTTTTATTTATATATTTTATTATCATCATATATACTATTTCAAATATATACTAATTAATGTACTATTTCAAATATATAATATATAGTTGTTATTTTAGAAAACAAAAAGAGTTCCTCTAAAAAGTTGTTGTAGTTCAATAACAATAATGTAATTATGACTCTTATTATAAAAAGAAATAGAATTACAACTTTTATATAAAGAAATCATAGATTTTATATTCACAATTAACAAGCTACTTATAAAATGAATAACACAAAATTATACTTAAAGATAAATATTTTTTAATTAATGACTACACTACCTTATCTTTCAAACATATACCATATCAAGTCCATATTTTTGAACCGAATTCAACTCATGAGTTTTTTGATTGTCCCTTAATTTACTCTTGTGGCTTGATTTTGTTACCAGATATTGCTTCATCCAAATGACTCACATTCGAAGGATGTAGATGGGTTTGTTTTGCCAACTTTGGTATATATGTCTCGTGAGAAGAGACCCCAATATCACCACAACTACAAAGCGGGAGCCATGAATTCATTGGTAATATATAATTAAAACCCTCCTTTTTTGACATAAAAAATTTTAGGATGGAAAAATAAATGTATAGTAGGAAAAATCTTCCACCCAAAGAATATTTACATGATAATTACATTTACTTCTTGCAATGAATAGTAAAAGTTGAACGTGCATATTAGATGTGAAACATTGTCTTAATTCACTCGATCAATCTCTTGAGTTAAAGTTATTTTTCATAAGGCTTGTACGAAAAAAAAATAGCAAATGTAGTGCCTATTCATTATTAATTAATTATTTACAAAAGGAGGTTCAAAAGAAAGACCACATTATAACATGATTTATGTTGACAAAATTTGTCAATGATCTAATCACGCCTGCATATATATATATATGTAGCTGCTTAATTATGTGAGTAATCTTTTATGAATCATTTATCAATCTATGTGCATTAAATATCACCTTTTTTTTTCTTTGACCTAAATGCAGTTAAGAGTGTCTTCAATGATTAGCAATGCGAAAATCATTCTAATTCTAGATTGTGACATGCACTCAAACCATTCACGATCAGTACGAGATGCTCTTTGTTTTTTCATGGATGAAGAGAAAGGCCAAGAAATTGGTTTTGTGCAGTTTCCACAAAACTTTGACAATGTGGGTAAGAATGATTTATATGGGAATGCTTTATCAGTACTTATGGAGGTGAGTTAATTAATATTGATGAAATTAGAAGTTTTACAAGGGTTTTAAATTCCCCCCCTTTATCTTACCCCAGCTTCATTTTGATTTTATTTTTAAATTGAATTATCTTACATAATTTATAAATTTGATTTATTTAACAAATTTTTTAATTCAACGATTAAATCATTAAAATTTAATATAAATATAAATTTATTGAGTAAAATAATTTTATTAAAAGTTATTTTTAATTTCCTCACTTTAAACCTAAATAATTGATATTATCATGAACATTTCCGTATTTCTTTTTAAAATAACTCCACTTTTCATGATCACCATGAACTATGAAGGTGGAGCTCCATGGTGCAGACGGTTATGGTGGACCTTTGTTCATTGGAACTTGTTGCTTTCATAAAAGAGACGCTCTTTCTGGGAAGAAGTTTAATAATGGTCTATACAAAAATGATTGGAATGATGAGAATGAGTTGATTAAGGCAAACCTGCAAGAACTAGAAGCAGAATCAAAGGCTCTTGCAAGCTGCAACTACGAGGAAAACACTTTATGGGGAAAAGAGGTGGTGTATTAATCTTTATTTGCTTTCACAATCACAAATACTAGGTTTGTTCAGGATTTTAAAATTTTCAAAATATTCAATCAAATTAGTAGTCTGATTAGATACATGCATATAAGTGTTTTTAGAGTTTTTTTTTTATGATAAATAATTTTTTATATTTAGTAGAGATAATTTCAAAAATACTTATATCTAAATAGACTATAATCTAAATTGATCTATTTTATATAATCGAACCATATTTCATAAAATGGATCAATTTAATTTTTACAGAAAGCAAATTAATTTTTCTTTTATAAAATGCATATTGCTACAGTTAAGATATTCACTTTATGTTTACATAATTAAGTTTTTTTAAAAGAAAATCAAATTCAACCATTTTATAAAAATAGATTGATTATTCGTATACTTTTACAAAGTGATTTCAATTTGCATTTTTTTCTCAAAACGGTTCTATTCAATTTTGGATTGGTTTTGATTGAGTTTTATTGAGCATCCCACAAATTCAATAATATTACATGAGTATATATGAAAGTGAAGTGTTTAATTAATTTGATTGTTGTAGATTGGTGCAATATATGGGAGTCTAGTGGAGGATGTAATAACAGGGTTGTGGATACAATTCCAAGGATGGAAATCAGTGTACTACAACCCAACAAGGAAGGCTTTTCTTGGCATTGCTCCAACTACATTGCTTCACACATTAGTTCAACAAAAGAGGTGGGCTGAAGGCGAGTTTCAAATTTTGTTTTCTAAGTACAGTCCTACGTGGTATGGTCATGGAAAGATCAAGTTAGGCCTAATATTGGGATATTGCCACTACAACTATTGGGCAACCACTTGTTGCCCAATGCTATATTACTCAATCATCCCTTCACTTTCTCTACTAAAAGGCATTTCCTTGTTTCCAAAGGTAATCATGGCCTCCCTTTCTTTTAGAGATTTAAAAACTATGCAACATTTTATTCTCTCCAAAACTCTTTAACAAATTTAAAAGTTGTTATAAATTACTCTGAATTAAAATAAATAAATAAATAATGAATCCCATTAATTTTCTTTTTTTTACTATCGTATTTTACTCATTGTTATACCAAATCTTTTGCTACTACCAACCCATTACACTAAAATAAAGTCAAACTAGTCTTAGACCCTTAAAATAAAGTCTTGAGTGAGTTTTGTAGGTAAAAAAAACTCGATTAAAAGGTGAAGCTCAATTAAAAGTAATCGATTAGGTTTTTTTGACAAAAGTTAATCATTCAATAAAATGATTGATATTTTGCACCTATAATATGATAAATAAATAAAAAAATCTATTGTCACTTAAATAGATAAGAACTAGTGGACTTTTAAAAACATTTGATTTAACCTATTCTTAAGTTAAAGCCTTTAGGTTTATTTTTATTTTATGACATTTGTTTTTGCTTGATTCTTTCTTTTTGAAGTTTAGCCTTTTAATCGTTTTCTTTGTCAACTTCTCTATTTTGTTCAAACTTCAAGTTTTCCCTTTTGATATACACTCAGCTATTATATTAGAATTTGTGTGCAAGTCGTTGTCTAAATGTGTGAACTAATGGATTTTTAATCTCAATTGTTTATTTAAAGTTATCTTGATACACTTTAGACTTATAGTCCTCCTACTTATACATTTATTTATTTTTAATTTACCAACATGAAACTTGATTTCCAACAATTTCTTTGTTAGTTGATATGAATAAGAGACTAAAATGAAAATCTTTTCAATAAACTAAATAAAGTTTCCTAAACCATATGTAATAAATAAATGCTACAATGCAATATTTAGAATGCATATAACATTGTGTTTATCTGGTGGATTCAACAGATGTCTAGCCCATGGTCAATACCATTCACATTTGTAATACTAGCAGAAAGTACTTCCAGTTTAGTTGAGGGTTTGATTCTTGGAGGCACAATACAGGGTTGGTGGAATGGCCTAAGGATGTGGTTATACATAGGAACAACTTCTTACCCTTTTGCTTTCATTAAAGTTGTCTTGAAATTCTTTGGTCTTTCAGATTTCTCTTATAATATCACAACTAAGATCATCCAAGATGATGTTTCCCAACGTTATGAGAAACAAGTCATGGAATTTGGAACCTCTTCTCCATTTTTCACTATACTAACAACAATCGCATTGCTCAATTTATTTTGTTTACTTGCTACTTTAAAGGAGTTACCACTTAGTGAAGGTATGGGATTTCAAGTTCTATTGTGTGGGATTTTGGTTTTCATCAATTTTCCAATATACCAGGGACTTTTTCTAAGAAAGGACAAGGGTAGATTGCCAAGCTCTTGTGCTATTAAATCCATTGCATTAGCTTTAAGTTCATGTATCCTCTTCAAAATATTGAACTGACTAGATTAAAGACTAAAGTAGTCTTTGCTTTTATCTTTTGATTAGAAAAATAAAATGTATTTATTATTATTTTGTTGGACTCTTTACTTTCTTTCTTTTTTAATGAAATGCTTCCGATACTTATATTTTTCTAGCATTGCTCTTTTTTGTTTTGTTATTAATTTAATATCTTTAATTGTAAGCTATGTTAGTGGTCAACTGGAGCAAGTAGATACTAGTACGAGTCTCTAATTTAAATTTGTATAAGCCAATAAATATAAAAATTTAAAATGAAATGTTTATGTAACTTTATTTTTCTTTTTCTTTCCTCATGTAACAAAACAATGTACAAGTTTTTAAAAGGAAACAATAAATCAGAAATTTTATGAAAGTATTTAAGGTAAGAATGAAATTAAAATGATATCTAGATATAAATTCAAGCACTTCAATGAGGTCTAATGTAAGCTAGTATGATAATTTTTTATAAAAATATTTTATCAAATAAATTAATTATAAACAAAATAAATTAATAAATAAATAAGGTACGAGTTGTTTGAAATTACATATTAAGCACCTAAAATTTTACCATTACCTTGTTCCTCCTATCATAATTTGACACACAAAAAAATCATTCTGAAAAATAATATCTAATAATTTTCTTTTCCAATATAAACTAATAAGGGAAAAATAAAATTACAATAATGCTTATTGAGTTTATTTTTTATTTTATTCATGATTTTACAATTTATTATTATTTTTTTTTTACAAATATGTGTATATACATGATTTTACAATATTACACTATGGAGACGTTTGATAAGGATTTTTTTAATATAAATCCTAAGAATTATTATTCATAAAAAATAGTTAAAATCTGTTTGATTAATCATAATGATTCGTAAGAATTTTTATATAGGATTTCAAAAAATTAATGTCTTTACTTTGATTACAATAGTACATTCCTAATATGTAAATATTTTTTATAAAAAATCCTTTATTAAATAACTTCATTAAACATATTTATTTACTCAAATCTTATTACAAATATTATATTAATTATTTTAAAAAATTAAAAATTTATAGTTAAAATCATTTAAATACAGAATTAAACAAAAGAAATAAAAAAATACTATCTTATAATTAAGAAGGATAAAATATATTATTTTATTTTATTAAAAAATAATAAATAAATAAAAGAGTTTAACAAATATCATTAAATTGTATAAATAAAATATACTTTAATATTATTAAAATTGATAAGTTCAATAAATAATAAAACACGAGAAATAGGGAAAAATAAAGATATGAAAAGACTAGAGGGTAGAGGAAGGAGATAGAGATAAAGATAGGGGTAGGAGGGCGAGTGAGAGAGTGAGAGATCTTACTTTAGAAAAATGAATTTCAATTATATATTTTTTATTTTAAAAATGATATTGTTATCTTTTATATAATTAAAACTTTCTCTCCTAATTAAAAAAGTTAAATTCCCGATCCTTTCATGAAAATATTAGTGAAAAAAGTAAAATAAAAATAATTATCAAAAAAATAATATTTTTTGGGAATCTTATTTTAAAAAAAAAAAAAATAGATACCAAATATGAGAAATCAATGTTTCCAATATAAGATTCACATGAAATTAAAAACTTCTCATCTACTAAATGCCCTTAATATTAGTTGGTACAAATAGTAATAATTCATATTTGTTGACCAAATTGTCTCTTAATAAATTTGGTGCATAATTCTCACCCATAAAATGGTTAAAAAATATAGTCTAAGTGGAAAAAAAATAATTAAAAAAAATTAAATGAGTAATTTAATTAGGAGGAAATGTTTAAAATGGATAAAAATTATCATGCAAAATTGTACAAATAAGAGAAAAAAATGTATTTTAGCGTTAACCTTCAAATGATACACACATATGTATTATAATGAAATTTTACAAAGAATGCAATGTAATGAGCAAAACCTTCAAATGATACACACATATATATTATAATGAAATTTTACAAAGAATGCAATGTAATGAACAAAATTCTATAGCACATAGCACGAGACAAGGTTGAAAGAGGGAGTATATATCCTTCGTTCCTTAAGCATCAATAAACTACAATATTGATACAAATCCTTATCAATAGTAGTTTGTTTTCTGTATTATATCTATCATGCTACAAAGTCACTTTTATAGCATATAAATAAACTAAATTACAACCAAATTCGTGTATGACATAATAACTATCCTTGAGAAAATGTTGGCAGCAACTAGTTACGAATATACATGATCTTTTGTTCAGTCTCTTTAACTATAACAACAATCGCTATGACTCTGCAGAAGGACTTTGCATGCAACAAAACCAATTTTTCTGAAAATCAATTAAGTTATTCATGAGAAGAAAAATGTAATACATAAAATATAAAGCCTATGAATATCAAACAAATTATTCTTGAACTAGATCAACTAACTATAAAGAATAAAAAAAAATGGTTCATCCACCACTAGCAGGCATCCAAATACAAATTTATCGGATAAAAACAATATAAATCGAATGTATACATATTTTATTAATTAATTTCAAATGTAAAAGATTATATTAAATGTTATTATATGTTTAAAAGTCTCATATTATTTAGAAATTAAAATTAAAAATAATTTATAAATATTATTTTTTTCTTAATTTATTGAAATATTTTTTTAAAGATTAAATCGTGATAACTTAATAAATATTAAAACAAATAATGCTCTAGAGATGTTAATATCTTATTCATAACAGTGAACTTAGTTAGAATACTAATAATCCTTCCTAAGGAAAACAAACCTAATTATAACATAAAGGTTATAATTGAATATTTTTTAAATGAGTATTATGTATATATATACATATAGAGAGATAGCTCATATCAGAGATTGTTTCTAATTCTTTCAAAATATACATAAATATTTAACCAAGAAAAGAAAAAGAAACATAATTACACACAAATACATAAACATGTTACGCTATATCTATTATATTACAATCAAGGTTATCTTACAGTTTGTGTTTTGGCAGGATCTAACGGAGGTTTGGTACGAGGATTAATCTTTTGTGACTCGGATTTGCCTGCACCTGTCTTTTTCTCGTCCCTAACTTTCTCGAAAATCACTGTGTAGCCTTCAGCTGATGCTGGATCATTAACATCCCATTCACCAAACTTTGGTAGTGCTCGACCTGTGTCCTGGTTAATGGTTATCAATAGGATCAGACCACAGGTGCATTAAAACTCATCAAAGACAAATATTGTTTCCAAAAGAAGCACAAGCTTGCAACTATTACTTTTCCAAAGAAACTCCTATCACAATGAAAAACCAAATTCCTCAATCTATCTATTTATCAAGGAAACCCATTGAGACATATGTTTGAAGAATTTTTACTTGGAATCAATGACTTGAAATAACTTTGGTATTGAAGGTCTTTTATCCTAAAACTAATAAATCAAATAAAGATCATGTCACAAAAATCAAGAAATGGAATACATGTTTACGTGACTGGTTAATGAATCAAAGTTATTGTGAAATGCAATTCATGGATATAATGAGAATAATTTAAATGAATAAGCAAGATAGAGACATAAGTCATCGTCGAAGAATCATAAGAAATAAATGATCATAACGTAATTCATGAAAATCTGAGATGAACAGAGGAAGATGACTCGTACCGACATGAGTACAACGTTGAAAGATTTTTCAAAAAAAAAAAAGAAGAAAAAATGAAATGGAGATTGTGTTTTAAAAGAAAGATACAAGAATTTTGGTGTTTACACAACCTGTTGAACAGAAACAATGTGTGGTGTTGTAGAGACAGAACGTGTGTTGCAAAATTAACATTAACAATGTCAAATAATAGCTCAACGACACGACTTATTAGAAGGTGGAACGTCTTTTGTTTTAGGTTCATGATATATACACCTCCTTTTTTTTATAAGTACACCTCCTTTTTAAAAAAATAATTAAAATTTTAAAATATTCTTAATTTTTTGTTTTAAATTTTTTAATTTTACATTCACAACATTTAACTTAGTACTTTTTTTTCATATATTTTTTCTTCTTTTTTCAATTTTTACATGCGCCCCCTTATTTTTTCTTTACCCACCTATTTTGGTAGCATGTAAAAATTGAAAAAAAAAAAAAAAAGTGTGTGAATAAGAAGAAGAAAGTAACAACTGAAAGTGTAAAATTAAAATTTTTAAAAAAAATTATAATATTTTATAATTTTTTTTAAAAGAAGGAGGTGTACTTATAAAAAAAAGGAGGTGTATATATCATGAGCCTTTGTTTTATGACCAAGCCCAACAACACAGCCCGACGGAAGTCCAGCAAGTCATTGACAGTGTCAGGCCCAAGAGGGCTATTATGAAGTAAGAGCAAGTCTCTCTAAAATTACTATAAAAAAACAAAAAACTTAATTAGATTTTTGTCTCAAGTATAGCAATTATGTGATTTTACTAATATATATAACTTAAATAAGTAAAAATTTGCATAATTTTGATATTTAAAAGATTAAAATTATACGATTGTAATGCTTGTTTAGGGTTTAGGGTTTAGGGTTTGTTTTAGGACGACAGTTACATTATTTTATGACTAAAATTATTCAATTAAAATTTGAAAGTCTAAAATCGCACAAGTAATACTTGAGAGTCGAAATGACAATGGGATGAGATAGGTGTGAGTTTCAATATTTTTATTCTCATTCCCAAGTTCGTACCATATACTCATCATTGTCCTCATATTCATTGTTTATATTTACTTGAGTGTAGGGATGACAATAAGTGAGATGACGATATAAAATTTGTGTTTCGTCCCCACCCCCGTCGGGTATTAGGTAATAACTAAATATATTTTTTTGCAAAAAAATATTAAAAAATTACAACATATAATAACAATTATAAAATTATATTAATTAAGTTTAATTTGACATGAATTTAAAATACAACAAGAATTACATAAATCTCAAATAAGTTAAGTTTTTAGAAATTTAAACTGGGGATGAGACAAAGATGAAGACAGATATGTGATGCATAAGTATATATCAATTACTGCTCTCTTACCTGATTTAATAAATTGAATATTATTTTATCTAATCTGATTAAATCAAATATTCTTCGTCAAAGTCAGGGTTGATTCAACATTACTCACAGATACAAGTTTATTTATAATCCCTACTAAAAATGAATTTTAAAAAAACAAAATAAAAAAAATAAAAATTGAAATAAATTTTCTTCATTAATTAATACTAGTTTATATAAAAATTAAAAATAATAGTATAGACAAATTAAAACTATTGTAGATTTAAACTATTTTAAAAAATATATTTGTTTATTGACTTAGGTTATAAGACTGAAATCCCTTGAAGCAAAATAAATATTAGCAACAAATTAACTTCTATATATCAAATACAAACTTAGAAATGTTTTAAGGATTTTTTTTTAATAAAAAAGTTTTTAAAGATTTTTTTTGACTTCTTATCTAATTCTTTTTTTATTTATGAATTAAATCAACTCTTAAACATCAACATCTATTTTGCGTAAAGTATTTTTAGGGACTTTTAAGGATTTTAAAGAATTCTTTTAACTTCTTATTTAATTTTATTTTTATTTGTTATAAATATTTATGAATAAAATATTAATATTTTAAAACCAATCACTATATATTAAACACCAACTTCCATATTACAAGAAAGTGTTTTTAGGATTTCTCTTCACAAGAGAATTTCTAAGGATTTTTTTTTTAAATTTTTTTTATCTAATTTAATTTTTATTTATTATAATTATTTACGAATTAAATTAATTATTATATATTAAATACAAACTTATATATTATGTGAGAGTATTTTTAGAGATTTTTTAAAGTTTTTAAGACTTTTTTAACTTCTTATTTAAACAATTTTTATTTATCATTATTATTTATATATTAAATATTAAAATTTTAAAATAATTTATCAATAAATAAAGTAATTTTATTATGATACAAATTATTTATCATAAATTTAAAATTAAATTTATATATATTAATTTTAAATATAATTTGTATATTCAAATACACTATTTATATATATATGTGTGTGATTTATTAAAAAAATTATTATATTAAAAAATCATATATGTGTTAGACTGGTTAAAATACTAGTTCATTCTTATTTATTAAGATTTATGAAAAATTGTAAAATTAAGAAAAATAGTTATTAAATAGATGTGATATACCAAATTTTGTATTTTTCATTAAATTTTACCAAATGGAAAAACACGCGACAGAAAGTGCAGTTAACAATTTGTTAATTATAAATATTTTTTAATTATAAATTTAACTTTTTATTTTTTATTTTTAACTATTAGGAACTTCGTTAGTTAGCATTGTTTTTTTTTAAAAAAAACCCTTTATTATCCAAAGTACAATAGCAAACGGCTACAACCATAGGAAGCAGAGGTGGAAAGAATCTAAGCATGGCGCAGGTGCTGTACATGGCTTTACCTTTTCCGGCAGAACCCCACAAAACTGCACCTTCTTCTTCTTCTTCTTCCAAGCCATTGAAGCTTCCCCATAGAACCCGCAGCACCGACATATCCATTCCCAAAGGTAACAACAAACCATGCTTCTTCATTTCCTGCTACAACGCTTTACTGATGCTTCCCTCACTATCACAAAGATTAGAAATTAAAAAAAAAAAATGAAACTTTCAGGTGGTGGCAATATTTCGGTGAAAACCCAGAAGCTGAATTTAGAGGTTTCTCCTCACAGAGCTGGTACATCCACTTTGTCCCTCGTCATAGAAATAAGGTGCAGTTCTGATTTGTTGGGTCCATGTTGTTGTTGTTGTTGTTGCAGTGTCAGCGGTGAGATTGATGCGGATTGAGCTTGGTGGTGCTTTTGCTGACCTTCTCAACGAGAAAGGGAAAGGTTCTGGTGAAAACGAGATGGGATATGTTCAGAGAACGCTTGGCTTTCGCACTCGGGAATTGAATCATCTTGATCTCAGATTGGTTAGTTAGTTAGTTACTCATCACTTTCGACGCTTTCTCTAGTAACTTACAAATTGGATGCTTTGGTCAATGGCAACAATGTTTTTAGTTTCATAATCAATGATCAATAGTTCAAGATAGAGTTGAGCAGCTTTTGTTGTCCTAATGTCCTCTATGAAGTTGGTATATGGAATGATTGAACGAGTCACTTGTCTTCATCTGGGAATGGGATTAAGCAGAACTGTCTGAGTATAATGTCTGATTTCCAGATTATTACCACTCTTAATTAGGCCGAAACTTTGAAGTATTTTGACTTTTAAACTCCCATTCATGTCACTCAGAATTGATGAACTGATATTGATTTTTTTCTTGGTTAATACTACGAATTACGAATTATATAGGTCACAGATATTGTTGGGGGCACGATTCGCTGGAGAAGATATCTTGATCATCTTATCAGCTCACTGTGTCATGACAAAGATATATCTAGCATGGAACCACTTCTCTTACAGGTGACTTTTGGTTCTATAATTCTGATCACCATGCTTGCACGATTCGTCACTCATCATCATCAACTAAGTAAATACTTAATGTACGTTACAACAGAAGTAGAAAATTAGAAAGTTTTATGTGTTCTAGTTTAGTCCAACGCTGCTAATTAAAGATTTTGTTGGTGAACCTTTTGAAATAAAGATACATGCTGTGATTATATATTCATTGGCCTGAATCCTTATATTCTTTGGACATCTTATTACTGATCATAATACTTTATTTGTTTCAGATTCTACGAATTGGCTTCTATGAGATTGTCAAATTAGATATGCCACCTTATGCTGTTGTAGATGAGGTATTTTTTTGCCCCACATATAAGTGTATTCCTTGTTTCATAGATGAATAGATTGGATTCATGTTTCAGCAGATATTGGAAAGAATATAGTCTGAATATTGGGATTGGGATATGAATTGAATTTATTGTTTCAAAGAATTTTAATTTGTTGATTTTTTTTTTCTTCTAATGTTGCACTGGTAGAGATGATTTTTTTTATGCTTACTTGTGATTATTGGTTTAAAGTTCAACCTATATATTTTTTTTCTGAAGTTTTTTTTTTTTTTTTAAATTAAATTTTTTTTTTTTTTTTTAAATTAAATTTTTTTTTTTTTTTTTAAATTAAATTTTTTTTTTTTTTTTTAAATTAAATTTTTTTTTTTTTTTTTAAATTAAATTTTTTTTTTTTTTTTTAAATTAAATCTGTTGTCTTGTTATCGTAAGTTTGATTGGTTAGTATTGAGGTTTTGGTTCAATATACTGTACACATTATAGTCCTAACTTCTCTTCATTGTTTTGTCAATCTGCCGCATGAAATGCAGAACGTGAAGCTTGCTAAAGTTGCTCTCAGACCTGGGGCTGGCAACATGGTCAATGGAATCCTCCGAAAGCTAGTTGTGCTTAAGGTTTTACTTTTTGCCGATTGCAATAGTCTTAATTGTGAGAGTGGCAGTTCATGAAGAATTTATGAAATCCATTGATGTTTGGTTTGCAGGAGAATGAAACTCTTCCTTTGCCCAAAGTGGAGGGTGATGACCGTGCACAAGCACGTGCTTTGGCAACTCTGTACTCACATCCAGTTGTAAGTGTCTGACTGCTGTCACTTTTCCTGTACCACTATTCATTGTTCTAATTCAGGACAATTCATAATTAGGAATCACTGCATGAGAGACAGATAAGCATAACATTTTTTAAGTGGTCAGCCGCATCAATACTTGTAAAGTATGAGTATAATGTAA